GACCCTTCCTTTCTACAAAATGGCAAAAATTGGAAGGCTTTCGGAATTTGACGTCTCACAGCCAGAGAGGTGGGAGTCCTACATAGCCAGGGTGGAAAACTACCTCAAGGTAAATCAGGTACGGGAAGATAGTTTAAAGGCTGCCACCCTGCTGTGCGTTTGCGGTCAAGACGCATTCGAAATCGCTGAGAACCTTGCAGCACCTGTCCCTCTAGAGTCTGTCAGCTACGCAGATCTAAAAAAGCTACTGAAGGAGCACTTCCAGCCCAAGATGTCCATCATTGCGTGGCGCCACACCTTCGAGCAGAGGGATCAACGACCCGGAGAATCGGCCAAGGAGTACATCGCCGCGTTGAGGAAAGCTGCCAAACATTGCGAGTTCAAAGACCTCGAAGAACGACTGAGGGACAGATTTGTATGCGGTCTAAGGCCTAGAGAGTTACAACAGAGACTTTTTGCCAAGGAGGACTTGTCATTCCAAGATGCCTTGAGAGAGGTCACCGCAGAAGAAGCAGCGGGCGGCGCCATCAAGAACATGCGGCCGATCAGAAACAGTCCAGATGCTGCGTCCGTGCACCAGGAAGAAGTCCAAAGGAACTCTGAGGAGGACCCTGACGAGGAAGTGGACCGTCTCCACCCCACAAAGGAAGGGAAACAAAAAGGAAGCTCTTCAGCTCTCCCCAAGTGCATCGCTTGTGGAGGTCGCCACAAGAGAACCGACTGCAAGTTCCGCTCCGCTATCTGCAGGGCCTGCGGAAAACAAGGACACATTGCAGCTGTGTGCCTGGGCCGTCAGAAGGTACAACCTCAGGAAGAATTGCGCCTGAAAGGTACCAGGGTTCCCAGCCAAAACAGGGTGGGGTTTTGCGCTTCGCGAAGAAGCATCTATAGGACAGGCACACACAAGCCCATTAAGAAAAAGCTGTCACTTAAGGTGAAGCTACAAGGGGTTCCATTGGCTATGGAACTGGATACGGGGTCTGCACTTTCAATCATTTCCATGCAAACGTTTAGGAAGATTTGTTCTGGTAGTGGAACTCAGGCTAAGCTGAGGCCTTCTGACATTGTGTTAACAGACTTTCAAAACTCCAGAGTGTGTGTTAAGGGGGAGGCCACCCTTAACGTACAGTATAAGGATTTTGAAGGTCCACTAGATCTAATAGTAGTAGGGGGTGAACGAACGAGTCTCATAGGATTCGATTGGTTTGAGGCCTTGGGAATACACGTCACAGGGCTCAATAGTCTGCAAACACTTGACCTACAAGAAGTCTGCAAAGAATTTGCAGATGTCTTCAGCCCCCAGCTGGGCACATACAAAGGACCCCCTGTGTCATTAAAACTAGACCCCACCGTCACTCCCATTAGAATTAAAGCAAGAAGGGTCCCTTTTGCTTTAAAAAGTAAAATTGACACTGAGTTGGACAAACTGATTCAGCAAGGAGTTCTAGAACCTGTGGACTCCAGTCCCTGGGAAACCCCCATTGTCACGCCTCTCAAGGCAAATGGGGACATTCGCATCTGTGCTGATTACAAATGCACTCTGAATAAGGCATTGCAGCAACATGCCTATCCTGTTCCTGTGGTCAGTCATATTCTGGCCTCCCTCAAGGGGGGGGCGCGTTTTTGCAAAGCTTGACCTAGCTCAGGCATATCAACAGCTGCCTGTTGATGATGATACTGCTGTAGCTCAGACCATTGTGACCCACAGAGGGGCCTTCAAGGTGAAGAGGCTACAATTTGGAGTAAATGTCGCTCCTGGAATTTTCCAAAGTGTAATGGAAAACACACTACAGGGTATACCAGGGGTTTGCCCCTATTTTGATGATGTCTTAATTGCAGGAGATTCTACACACAACTTAGCTGAGAGATTAAGGGCTGTCCTGTTAAGGTTCAGGAAAACGGGCCTCAAGCTTAAGAAGGACAAATGTAAAATTGGGGTGCCTTCTACTGATTTTTTGGGATTCAAAATTGATGCTACTGGGATTCACCCTGCTGAATCCAAACTGAAAGCTATTCTGCATGCTCCCAGGCCAAAGTCTAAGGCCGAACTACAGGCTTTCCTGGGCCTTCTGAATTTCTACAATTCCTTTCTTCCACATAAGGCTAGTGTAGCTGAGCCTCTTCACAGGCTATTAGACAAACAGGCAGTGTGGCAGTGGTCACAAAAACATGAGGCAAGTTTCAATGAGGTCAAGGCCTTACTCACTTCTAACAGTGTACTCGCACATTTCAATGAATCCCTTCCTGTGTGCATCGCTTGTGATGCTTCTCCTTATGGGGTAGGAGCTGTACTAAGCCACCTCAGGTCAGATGGAACTCAGGTTCCTGTTGCATACTACTCCAGAACTTTGTCTGCTGCTGAGCTTAATTATGCTCAAATAGACAGGGAGGCTTTAGCTGTGGTTGCTGGATTTAAAAAATTCCATGATTTTTTATATGGCAGGTATTTCACGGTCTTCACTGACCATAAGCCTTTGTTGGGACTATTTACCACATGTAAGCAAACTCCCCAAATCATCTCCCCCAGAATGCTAAGATGGTCTATCTTTCTTTCTGCCTATGATTTCTCCCTACTTCATAAACCTGGGAAGGAAATGGGCCATGCTGATGGCCTCAGTAGGTTACCCCTGCCGGTAATAGAAGCTGACCCTGCTCCAGCTATCAATCTTCTCTCCATTCAGGCCTTGCCCGAGTCTCCTTTGAATGCCAGAGATGTAGCCGCTGAATCAGGCACAGATCACACACTTTCACGTGTCCTTTCTTGGGTTTTATCTGGATGGCCAGAGAGCTGTCCTGGCACGGAGTTTCAGAGTTTCTGGTCTAAAAGGAACGAGTTGTCCACCTTCCAGGGTTGTCTGCTTTGGGGAAGCAGAGTTGTCATTCCTACCTCAATGAGGACTAGGGTCTTAGGTTCCCTCCACGAGGGTCATCCTGGCATTGTACGCATGAAGGCGCTCGCGTGCAGCCATTTGTGGTGGCCTGGGTTAGATAGTGACATTGAAGCTAAGGTGCACGCATGCCACCTTTGCCAACGCTCACGCCCCGAAATGCCACAAGCTCCTGTACATAGATGGGAGGAAACACAGTCTCCATGGTCTAGAGTGCACATTGACTACGCTGGGCCCTTTCAGGGTCAATTCTTCTTGGTCCTAGTTGATAGCCATTCAAAATGGCTTGAGGTTGTACCTGTCTCTTCCACCACCACTGCAAAGACTATTCAAGTACTGAGGGGGATTTTTGCTGCACACCGGCTTCCAGATGTCCTCGTGTCTGACAATGGCCCTCAATTCACTTCTTTCGAATTCCAAGCTTTTTTACAGGCTAACATGATTCGTCATGCCACCTCTGCACCTTTCCACCCGTCCACCAATGGTATGGCTGAACGCATGGTTCGCATCACCAAGGACGCCTTGAAGAAAATCACCTACGGAGACATGCATCACAGGTTGGCTGACTTCCTCCTTTCTTATCGCACTACACCGTCCACTTCTATGGGGAGGAGCCCAGCTGAACTTTGTTGGGGGCGCAAACTGACTACCAGTTTGACCGGTTGCATCCGGATAGACTGCCTTCTTCTTACACACGCCCCAGGGCACCTAGACAACTCCTTGTGGGTGCCCCAGTTTGGACTCGTAATTACGGGCCTGGTCATTCATGGGTCCCCACTTCTAAATCCAGGGTCAGAGGTCCTCTGTCTTACGAGGTGTCCCTGGACAACGGTCGTGTCCTGCGTCGACACATCGACCAACTTCGCCCTAGACGGGACCTTCCCGCTGAGACTCCTAGGTCTTTTCCAGGGGGGGAGGGGGACCCCTTTGGGCAAGGGGAAGGGCATGGGCTGCTGCCCATTATCAATGAGGAAGCCACAAACGGCTCATCTCAAGATTCCGCGAGTGCTCCAAACAGGAATTCAAGGAGCCCAACTAGATATCAGGCATCAACGCCTACTCCAGCCAGGGAGTCACCCCGAGGGCATAATCACTAGTCACCCGCATCACACAGTACTCCAGTCAGGGAGGATACCTGGGAGCATCCCAATAAACCATTTCCCGCAAGAGAGCTGGCACACACTCCTTCTAGTTGGCCCGACACTACCCCTGTCCCTAGAAGGGCAAACATACAGGGAGGTGGTCGAGGAACCAAATCCCGACTACAACACCTCTGACTTCACTCAGGGGACAACTGAGTTTTGGGACAGTACTGAAAACCCCACAAGCCTGGGGACAGAACGGGAACCAGGGGACAGAGAACCTCCTGACAGGTCTTGGATGGACCTTGGAGGTTCTAAAGAATCGCCCAACAGTGACAGTCACTTAGAGGGGCCAGAGAGCCTGCAGCAAGGCAGGACAACCAGGTTAAACAAAGGAAGAAGCCCTGGCCTGACGAGCCCGGTGGGCAAGCAAGCAGGCCAGGCATTGGAGCACAGTCATTGGGGACCACCAAGGCAAAACAAGGGGGACAGGCACGCATCACCCCTCAGTCAAGGGGTACTTGGCAGGTACCCAGAAGTTAGGAGGTCACAGAGAGCCAGGAAATCTCCTAAGTATTTAGAAGATTTTGTAACTCTGTTGACAAAACAGAGTTAACAGAGGGAACAGAACACTTAGACTAATGGAAGCAAAAGTAATACCTGGCATTGGGTAGTATGGCACTACACTCGCAATGGGTTATGTGTTACTATGGCATGGTTAATAGTTTTAACCTGGGGGGAAGCGGTGTTATGTCCTGAGCCTGTGCAAGCAGGCTCGGGGCATTGCAAACGGTCCCGGACAGGTGCAAGTTGCCCGGGACCAGACAGGCTGTCACCAGTACTTGTGCGCATGCGCAAGTGCTGGCGCACCAAAAGTTGCAGATTGACCCGGGAATGGCCTATATAAGAGGCCAAGAGTTTTGGGCATTGCCGGCGTCTTCCAACTGTAAGCTGAACTAAGAATAAAGAAGTCTTGAGAACTACAACTGCTTCTCGTGTCTTGCCATTTCGCGAAGGACGCAACACTTACCATGTCTGTCAAAGAGTGGGATGCCTGGACAAAAACTGATACAATCTGAAAGAAATAAGGACATGTAAAAACCCAATTCCTGAAATTCCTGGCTATGGCAAATTTGGTTTTGATTAAAAAATTAAGCACCTTACTACTCCCAAAAAGAATGGCATCCTTGGCACATGGGACTCGGTTTTGATCCCAGTTAACAGCATTTTCAAAATTTGTATTTGGAATCCATTGTTTGTACACAGCAACTGAAGAGCCTAGGAAAAACCAATAGAAAACAGTAACTATGGTATCAACAAGCTTTGATTGGGAAGATATGACCACAGCAAAATAGGATGACTGATTTTTCTTATTCCAATCACTGAATGATTAAAGCAACATTACAACTTTGAAGCTTGGCCTTTTCCTTTACACACACACACACACACACACACACACACACACACACACACACACACATACATATTTATTAAGCCACTAAAAAAAAACCCAAGTAGCTATATATTTTAGATATCACCACAGGTATTAAAATGCCACTTGATACACCCTGGCCAGACTGATTGATGTCCTTGAACCTTAACAACTCTACATATTGTGTTTTATTGTATTTTCAACAGCATTTTTGCTTTATGGCAGAATGCTTCCTGCTGGTATTGCTATGCTCAAATGGATGTATAAGTACTACTACTATGTATACTTTGGCATGCATGCAATAGCCAATGTTGCAGGTTCATTTTAAGGATACAACAATTGTGGTAGGGACACATTTGTTATTTAGCCACACTCTTCCTATTATTGTTGTTTATTTCTTACTTAAATATTGTTCCACTGCAATTTAATTACTTGCTTTAGGCAATGATTTCTAGAGAATTTCCAGAAAGGCTTTAAATATGGCAAAATCCAGCAAGCACCATAGAAAGCAGCTTCTTACCCAATTCATGCTTCTCCTTCAAAGAAAATAACCATGCATACATATTGGACAGCCTGATTTTCTGTCACATCTAAAGTAATTGAGATCTAAGCAAACATAGCAAATGGATTGTGAATCAATTCATGCCCTGGAAGACCCTTGCAGTGTTTTGTACTCATTATGATGAAGAACTGTCAATTGCTATTATTTTTAAAATACTTTCTCATACATCTAGTCTTCTCAGAGGATGATTTTGTCCTGGAAGATGGAATTGCTATAGATGAGATCAAGTAAGGAAGATTTCTGACTCCTAGTTATTAGGATTCCACCATAAAAAGCCTTTTAGGGGCCTTCCACGGAACGATTCTGAACCAGTCTGAAAGAGGGTCCAGACATCTGTGTTCCCAGAATGTCTTTAATGTTGGGAGAACACTGGCTTGGAGTAAATGAAATTGTTGTGATGCTACTTTCCCCTCCTTTACTGAGGTTTCATTTTCCCACTGGAGGGAATTATTACCACATTGAGGTAAGCTGAGGGCATATACCAGTCCAGTATCTGATTTCTTTAATGCAAACAATGCTGCATTTCAATGGTTAGATGACCTAGACATTGATATTTGAACATAGATCTTTTTTAATATTTATATTTTGTTGGGTTCTACTAATCTAGTTGAAATGTTAATTTATATTGCTAGTCCATGTACCACATCTCCTCCTAAGTCCTGAACTTGTGGTTCTATAAGGGAAAAGCTAGCCTGTCAATGCTGCAGGCAAACAAGCAAAAAATATAAGGTGAATTACTAATTAATTATTACTATTTTATTAATTTCCCCCTTTTCCTTGACATGAAAGAACACCTTTCATTCAATAGAATTGAATAGAATTCAATTCTATTCACTTTATCATCTCCTTCCTTCTTTCCTTCCTTCCTTCCTTCCTTCCTTCCTTCCTTCCTTCCTTCCTTCCTTCCTTCCTTCCTTCCTTCCTTCTTCTCCCTCCCTCCCTCCCTCCCTCCCTCCCTCCCTTTCCCTACATGTCTGCCCTTTGGTGTGGTGGACAATGGATTTTGTTTCTAAAGAAATTGGAGTGGCTTGGAAACATTGCTCCTTGTTCTCAGCATTTCAGATCATCAGAAGTGAGGATCCAGTAATCATATATAGTTTTCTATTGCATCTAAGTCTTGGGAAATGAAATGGTGGTGGCAGAAGAATGCCCTTAATTAGTGTTGTGCTCACTCTTACACAGTGGGTGAAGCATCTCATGATGATCACTTGCCAACCAAGTAACACTTCTTTCATTCTTCTGCTCGTTCATACATCCTGCACAGCACCTAACCTGTACTACCTGAATGCACATGCAGAAAGAGTGAAATTAATGTTAGCCTGTTATAATCAAAGATTTTGCTATATACAAGGACTATAATTGTGTGAGCAACCTGCATGTATAGTTTCTATTTATTTAATCTTTGTCAGATTCTTCAAACACACACACACAACTTATGGAACAAAGTAGAACAAATTAGCAAATATGAGCTTTTCTTCCACGGCAATTCAATTAAGCTAATGTCTGAAAAGTTCTCATATGTTCAATTTACTTTAGTTAGAAAATGCAAGTTAGATTATTTGGAACAGTGTCTTTTTCTAATATCAATATGTGATGAAGGGGCTTCAACCCAATTAGAAACTGTAGATTCCGTTAAATTAGGAACTAAAAATTATTGTTAAACCAAGTATTAAATTATTTCAGTCTTTCCTAGAAAAAAAAACTACTTAGATGAGTTCATTTTGTGGGCCCTGTTAGCATTCATCAGTCAAGCAGAAAGGAAGAAAATATCCTCTTTGGGTTACAATAAATGTGAGATTATTTAAGAATATTCATAAACAAGTTGATTTGTTGATAAACCAAGAAAAGAAATATAATTTTATTGAGAAGACATGGGCTGTGGAGTCTATAACTGCCTGACTACAACAAACAGTTGTAAATTTTTATTGCATTCACCCATTCTCCCAACAAATATTCCTAGATACAGAATCTTCCATTATTTGCTATCATTCACCTAGGTATCACTTGTACAGAAGTAACCAAATCATGTAGAAGTAGATTTCTTGTTTAATTCTCTGCATTTTATCTGTAAATGTATCTGCTCCAGAAATCTCTGGCCAGTAATTGGCTACCTTTAACATCATCTATTTTGGGGATGTAATCCAGCAGAGATAATCATCTTGAATGAAGTAACTATCTTTCTCCTATATCACCCTTTGTTCTAGGAAAGAGAAATTACGAAATCTGTTGAGAAGTTTCTCTCTTTAAAATAGATTTTTCTCCTTCTTCAAAGTACAGTTATTCTGAGACATTTTTGACTTGTGTTGCTGACCAGGTTACCAAGAAAGAGGTAGAACTGGTGCTAGGAAATTAAAAGCTCAGACGAAGTTGAGGTACAAAGTTTACTAGCAAAAAAAAAAAAGTATTATGAAAAGGAAAGGAAAGGAAAGGAAAGGAAAGGAAAGGAAAGGAAAGGAAAGGAAAAGAATCAGTATACCAGCTGCTTAGAAGGCACAATGCTTTGGGATAATAAGAATATTGCTTCACCTGGAAATTATGACAGAGAAGATGATAGGGCAAAGAAGATGACTGATGCAAAGATGATCAGAGAATAATTGTGCACTTTGGATGAGTTTAAATCTTCTGGACAAATTAACTGTACTGTAGTATACTGAAATAGTTAAGTGATAATCAGACCAATTTCTTATATATTGCCTTTGAGAAATTCTGGTGAAGCACCAGATAACTAGAGGGGAGCTTCAAATAGGAAAAAGAAAATCATCAAATTGCAGACCTGTCATACCCCTGTCTTGGTTATAGTATTTATGAAAAAGATCTTGGAATTGTAGTTTATTGCAAACTGAATATAAGTCAACAAAGTGATGTGACTGCAAAGAAAACAATTGCAATTGTATTAACATAAGCAAAATTTACAAATCACATTTCCTGTGATTTGTGATCTATTTTATTTGGCTTGATCCCTCACCATCAGCACTTTTTGTATTACTAAGAATCATAGTTTTAATAAAGATTCAAAGAAATTAAACTAGAAACAGGCAACAAAGATGATCAAGGAACTAGAATCTAATCCCCGTGAAGGGACACTGAAAAAGTTGAGTTTGTGTAACCTTGAAAAAAAAATGAGTTATGATGCATTTTTTAAATTCTGAAACACTATCACAGAGAATAAAATCAAGTTTCTCAGTTTTAAAGAAGACTAAAATTTATCTCATATAGTAAGAAAACTCCACCAAGCTAAGGGAGAACTAAAAGAGAATATATTGTTGTGTCAATGGAAACTTCCCCCCAAAGTAATAGCGACTTCAGAGAGGATGTTTCTATGTGAATCACTTCTTGAATAGAGGAAGGGGTTAGAAAAACTCTCCCCCAGATGCTATAGTTTCAATCCTAATTTCTGCTCACCAACTCATGTGATTCAGTTTAGAAGAAAAAAAATATCATAGGCAGTATGAAACTATTCTTAACAACTTAAAAAATAAATCTGTTTACTTCCTGGCAGACCCAATCAGGGAAACTTAACAGGAGTTTGGCTGTGGAGTTTAAGGGGCAAAGATATAATAAATCAATCCTATTAGATGACAATTGTGGACAGAGAGAAAGAAAAGAAATAAAAAGTATTTTTATCGATGGTGCTTTAAAAACAGAAGTGAAAATAAAAAGCCATGACTGCCAAAAGTAATTGTATGTGTGATCTGGAACTGTATTTGATCAGCCATCACATTACTCAGCGATATGACATAGCACCAAAAAAGCAAATGCAATTTTAGGTTGCATCAAAAGAACTGTTACATCCAGATCACGGGAAGTAATAGATCCACCTTATTTTGCATTAGTCAGTCCCATCTTGAATCCTTCCTATGTTCAGTTCTCTGCATTATGTTAAGAAAAATTCAGAGAAATTGGATCAATTAAAAAAGGTAAGACTGACAGAATGGATAAAAGTTTTCAAGTCTCTAGATCAGTATCACACAGGTCAATATCTTTTTTTTTTTAACCACAGTGCAGAACAGGGATTAAGCTAAACTATAGAAAAACATGTCATTGTTGAAGATTAGAGAGGGGGGGGGGAACCAGAATTTTGGATAGTGAGATTGATTTATTACTGAGGAAAAGGTGAAAATCCTTTCCTGGGATGAAAGTCATGTCCACCTATACCTAATAATATCATGGCACAATCCTTTTCCTCCCAAGATTCCATGATATTGCCTTCATCTCACTAGCCCATAATTTAGGTAGATTTAAATTAATTGTACCAGTGTTAGAATACTACTTTTCCTCCTTATT